ACTCGTGGCTCTCCAGGCCGCTAGCCCTACTCGTATTGGCTCTCCAGGCCAATCTAACTCAAATTATTACGCGACAAACTCGTGGCTCTCCAGGCCGTTAGCTCTAATCGTATTGGCTCTCCAGGCCAAACTAACTCAAATTAATTACGCGGCATATTCGCTGTTCTTTAGGCCGACACAAAACTTACTTTAAGAAATAAGTAACCGGAATAATAGCCCCAAGAAACTGCACAAACTACGAAGATAAATATCACACAAAAGCACTAGGACCGCGTGAAATAAAAACGCTGAAGCAGATCCGTACACCAAAAGACTCCCCAGGGCAAAAAAGTGTAACCTACATAAAAGGCTAAAACCGATGAAACCAAGGGCGCTAAAGAACAAGCCGTGAACAAAGAACCAAACCAACCAAGTGTGACGAGGGTAGAAATAAATGCAAATCTGAAGGGTAAACTACTTGAGTAAAACTATAACTGCGCCCAAAAATACCATGTAATAACGCATAAAATAGTAGTAGCATGCCTTGGATGCAAATCTGAAGGGAAACTACTCGAGTAAAACTATAACTGCTCCCAAAAATACCAYATAATAACGTATWAAATAKTAGTAGCGTGCATTAACAAAACCACGAGGTCCAGATAAACTGGCAGGCAAAAAATAGCGCCAACACGAAGGGAATAACAAACTCTCCCAGATAAAAGAACTGCAGCAAAATTACCTGCTGCTCGCCAACCGGTGGAACTACTGCTCCCGGCGCTTGCTGTTCAGGGTTTCGAACCCCATCTCCTGCTGCCGCTCCTTGCGCCACGTGAACTCTCAGTACAAATTATATCTTTGAAATTTTCTTTGCACTGGCAAAACGAAACAAATAGAATACAACAAACCTAAACTTTTTCCCACAATATACAAGCCGTCAGCATAAGCGCCTCAAGTCCCGTCTGTGTTTCATCAGCATGCATAGAGCACTAGAATGTTGGCTTATGGCTGGTGGCGGTGGTGGGGACAGCGAGAAAAATTCGTACCTCGAAGGTCCAAACGACGTTATGCAATGAGTCATGTGTGTTGACTTAATTTATACTGCTTGGTGATAATTTATTCAGTGAGAATAGTATAATTTTAGTCTTGAATATAGAGTTTCTCGAGCTGTGATTGGTCAAGCGACCATTGATTATGAGGTTTTTCAAAGTTTCCCAGAACGGAAGTAATACTTAAACGTTTTTTAATCCTGAATTTCGACTTTTCTCTGATATTCAAGTCTAAGATTATACTAAAACAATTATTCCCCGCAGTGATTTTAGTGATATGTATGTGACACATTTAAATATTTCACCGATAATCACTTCGCCTTCGGCAAATAATTGTTAAATATTAATCCGTCAAGCGGCTGCCATGTTTATTCTCAACCTTCGTTTCACCCGCATGAATTTCTTCTCAAGCACTTGAATGCGAGGCCACGTGTAGTGGAATATAAAAAGACAGAGAAGATTTCACTGTATGAAATCTAGCGGTGCATGTGACGTCATAGTCGCCATTTTGACAAAAGATTCTGAGTATGTCAACGAAAATCACGGCCACGTCTTTTGTCCTTTTATTTTCATGGAAAAGGATGCACACCACCAATAGGCGTGACCGTGACATGAATTTCAATTGTCACGAAATCTGCCGCATTACTTCCACGCACACTTCTTATTACTTAATCCACACTTAATCATTGGTCCTTATTCAGTGGTTCTTACTTTCCCACTATATACATTTGGTCCAGTATACTTGGTCCACACATTTGGTCCTACTTGTTTAAAGTATATTGAATGTCTTCGAAAATGCATGCAAGGTATATTCTTACGTGTTACGTCACATGAAGTCGATACTTCGCTACAATCTTCCAACAATTCGCTACGAAGCCATAGAGTTTATGCCATATATAGTAATGTTTTCAACAAAAAATGCAACCCATGGTCTTCAAATACATGTCCTTTTAAGGCACCGTTTACCATATAAGGTGTATTTGCCATTTTAGAGCAGTTTCCGTATGACTGTGATAAGCTCACGGCACAAGCGCGGTCGTGACACTGCAAGGCATACGCCAAACCAATCACATTGGCCGAGAATTTACTTCCGAAACACGGCACGAATACGGCGCGGACAAAATCACGCCAAAGTCACGACACAGCCAGACCAATCAAATTGCGCAATGAAAAAATCAGCCATTCAAAATGCTAAAAAACATCACGGTCGCGGCAAGGCACGCATACGGCACCAAGCTTTTCACAGGTACCAAAAATAAATCTATGTCTATGTCTATGTCTATGTCTATACGAAAACTGCTCTAAGGCATCTCGTTCTAAGAATCATAGTTATGAGTAATTACGATGGATTCGAGTTCAGAACCTGTACATTGATAACTTCCACTTTTTTCGTACTGGATTCACATCCTTCATTCTCCACGTCATGAGTGATTAATGTATTACCAGCTATTCTATCATCTGTCTCATCATTCCCTTGAGGTGATATCTTTTGCCTTCTGGATTTTTTACTCCTAGCAAAAGAAGGAGAACATGATTTGAGTGAGCAAATGGAGTACAACAATAAACCCCTTTGCTTTGGGTGAAATGTTTTTTTCCCATATGTTAGCTTAAGAAGCTGAATTCATATATATATAATACAAAAAGGAAGCTTCTTTCCAAAGCGTAATTTGGAATGGGAAAATGGAGAACGGTAGCAAGGAGAGAAAAGGAGAAAACATTAATGGGGGAAGGATAGATATCTCTTATTAGAGGTCACCCGAGGTCACCCGAGTAATTTTCATCCAATCCCATTCAAGATAGCAGATGCAACCTCTTTCCCAAGGCACTATAACTTATCTATATTTCTATATCTAGATGCAATCTCAATCGATCAGAATCAGTGTTTGCGTAGATCTTGTGGTCTCAGCCTATGGGAAGCTTTTTTTGGGGGTGGGGGGGGGGGGGAGGAGATTTTAGCCACAAAGCTAGTTGCCAGTTATTTTTCAGCCAGTCATTCAAAATAGCTGATGAAATCTCAATTGATCAGAATCCGTGTATACGTGGATCTAGTGGTGTCAGTGTATTGGGCGGCTGTTTTTTGGTTGTCCAGGTGACTATAGTTGATTCTCATGATGAGCTACTCATGTTGAAGCTAAAGGTACCTGATGCGGTGATCTCAATCCATCAGTGAGAATATTAACTACACTTACTTGACTATCTTCACGAAAATAGCGGTAATCACTATCGAGAAAAGAGCTCCAAAGAAAGTCCCAATTACAAGCTCCACAGTATTGTCTTTCTCCCCATCCGTATTAGTCCGCGGTTCTTCGAACGTGGACAACTTAGAAATCTTCTTTCCAGAGGCTTCTTCAATCTTTTGAATTGAATCCCGAATCGCCGATAAGATGGCCTCTTTCGGTATCGCCATTGCAACGTTCGTGGTGTTACCAGTCGGAAGTGCTGCTCCATTAGGTAACTCGACAAAGAAGGCAAGAACGAGCTGTCCGTTTACCTCCTTAGGGTACCCGGGTAAGAATTTTATGTTGTCCTTCGTAATATTAAAAGTACTTGTTGTTGGTGAAGCAGAACGTCTACAGCGAGAGAAAAAGGCAAAGAGAGTGGAAAAAAATTATTATTATTTACATAGCAGTGTCTCAACAGTGGCTTCTTTTCCACTTATTCCAAGTGGAGTTTTATCAAAAGATGAGTTTTTAAAGGGAGGAAAACCGGTGACACAGAGAAAAACCCTTGAAGCACTTACACCGACGTCAACTTTGATAATCAGATCATCTTTTATACGTTCATTGAATGAGCTATTCCGAGGTTGAGGGAAAAAACTGAATCAAGTTGGCATTGCAGTGCATTTTGGGGCTGTTTTAGAGGACATATTTCCATATTTATTTTTATATTGCATGACAGATGCATGAAAGTATTGCAGGTGTACTCGCCACATAATGGATTCTAGTTATGATATTATTCTTTGTAATGCATCGAAAATCAGATATCGCAACACCATGTTTATTTCCCACGAGAAATGTCTTATTCATGTCTCGGTAAGCTCATCATGAAGCACTCGATTGCGAAGCTAACAGGGGGGAATCTATATTCCATCCAACGCAAAATGACTGCCAAGGGCATTTGATATTTTTCTCTTATTCCCTCTACTTGACTGTCACATGCATGAGAAAAAGGAAAACTGTGCTCACCTTTTTCTTCTGTTTTCTTGTTTGGCTTTACATTTTGAAGCTGTGGACTCACTTCTGCAGTATTTCACAATACTATCAACTATCGCCTGTAAGACTTTGTCCTTCATCCCCTCGTTCCACTGTTAAAAACGAATTAAAATAAACATTCTAGTTAAAACGGAATTACAGTACAACACTGACAGAACAGGACAAGAGAACTGATTGACTTTCATTTATTCAATTCTTGTTTCATGAGAAGCAGACACCTTTTCATTCAAGATCGATTAAAACAATTATATATTCGGAATTAAAAGCAATATAGAAAGCAAATATACAGTCACCTGTACAGGATGAAAAGGAATTTTCTTAAGGTGTAATCCGATTTTAGAGCTTTTAGAGATTTGCTAGGGGCGGTTCTAATAGATGTATTGCAATATACAGCGAGTTATATTGTCTTTCATCTCCTCTTTTTGTAGACATTTTGTTGACACAAAGTGGCTTGTCATTTTCTCGGAAACATTAAAAGAACGTCCACTAATGGCCTCGTTCCTTGTAACGAAAATTTAATAAATTAGAATATGGCGTGATTTGTTGTGCATATGGGAAGACAAAAAAACTGTGGCAGAAGGTAAGATATGAACTTAAAATAACCTTTTTAAAACTTTGAGTTCCTAAAACTTTAAATACTAACTAACTGCTTAAAATATCGACGAAAACAATAATCATTTACATGATGTTGCTCAAACATTTCAGTGGAGTTTTGAAAGAGCATTGGCTTGTTGAGAACGTAATTCAAGATCATTTATATTCAAAACATTTAAAAACTTGTAAAATCGTACTAAAAGCCACCTTTTTGCAGGTGGAAAAAATTTGGGTTTTAAATTTATGCTACAAAATATTAAATTCTGTTTCTTATTTCACAGTTTCATTTCCACTTCATTTCCATTTCTATAAAACTCGATACATTTACGACCCTAACTGAACAGTTTCAGTAGTCAATCTCTAAAATTTGGCAATTTTGCCTTTCATTTTATTCTCGTCTGCCATCTAAATCAGGGTGAACCTCGGTCATGCATTCCAAAAATGGATTTTACATCAAAATACTACTAATAGTACTAATGCCTCGTTAGCATTTTCTAATAACAGAATGATTCGTGTCAAATTCAGTGGCTATTTCGTAATCTTATTAAACTCTATTGAAAGGGATAACAGCCACCAATATCGTCCCTTTCCCCTGAATATATTCCGCCGGCCTTAAAAATGGTAGTAGTTAACGTACCAGCTCTTTAAAATTCAGAATATCTGATTGATTGACATTTTTTTCAATATGCAGGGTCGTATTCATGGGGCTCATCCGGTTAAACTCCCTAAACCACGATCGAACCCCCTAAGTGACAAATGCGAATCCCCTAAATAGATCACTTTGGATAAAAGCTTTTTTCGTTTTGCTTCATCAAAATTACAGACGTTTTTTTCTTTTTTTTTTTTTTTTTTTTTGGCTAGGTCCACCAATTCAGTCGAACACGACTTGGATCCTCCCCTTGATATGGCTGCTATGTCTAGTTTACTTACGTTTGATAATGAAGTGTTCTGGAAGATTAGTTCTATCGCATCGGCTTTTTGCTCCTTGGTAACTGCGTTCAAGAAAATAACAGATCTAAACGGTCTCTTATTATGAATCTAATAACTTTGGGGTAAGCTGAGCATTCGAAACAGGTGCAGAGGGACTAGCTCCAGCCCCAAAATTGTGGCTAAAGGGAAAATGAGCGCTCGATTTGGAGCGGGTGTTCCAGCCAAATCCCCAGGACCTTTAGCATTATAAGCCAGGCAGAGAGAGCGCCATTTAATCATAAAAGGCTTTTCTATTATTCCGACATGAAGCAAACACAAATCAGTGGAAAGCTGAATTTTATGATGAGACGTTCGTCTGTTTCTTGTCTCTTGTTATGTGCATGCCAATAACCAGCGAAGTATGTGCGCTTCTGCCAGCAATATGTAAGATACATAATTTCACATATTTGGAGTTTACCTGTGTTGTTGACGGCTGTGTAAGGAACAACTGAACTCGAAGACAGGCTTGGTACAGCTGTAGTACTCGTAGGGTGAAGAATCGTTGAACTAAAACCATTTACTCTGGTTGCTAGTTGACTCGAAGAAGGCATGACGGTGGGTATAAAAGTCAATGACAAGGACCTTGAAGATGATAAACTTGCTTTCACTGACGTTGTAGACAAGAAAATTGGAGATGGTACTGTAGATGATGTAATTCCAGGTAATGTACTTGAAGATGGACTAATTGAAGGACTTGAAGATGATGAACTAACCACTTGTGATGATGTAGGCAAGGAACTCATTGATGAAGAAGATACAGCTTGTGGCACTGTGGATGATGTAATTCCAGGTAATGTACTTGAAGATGAACTGATGGAAGGACTTAGAAATGATGATGAACTGGCCACTTGTGATGTTGAAGGCAAGGAACTAATTGATAAAGAAGTTACAACTTTTGGCACTGTAGATGATGTAATTCCAGGTAATGTACTTGGATATCTACTTATTGAAGGACCTGGAGATGATCGAATGGCCATTTGTGAGGATGTAGCTACGGCACTCATTGATGAAGAAGGTAAAGCGTGTAGCTCTGTGGATGATGTTAGAGGTAATGCACTTGGTGATGTACTGATTAAAGGACTTGGAGATGATGAACTGGCCATTTGTGATGATGTAGCAAAGGTACTCATTGATGAAGAAGCTTCAGCTTGTGACACAGCGGATGAGGTTATTCCAGGTAACGCACTTGATGACGAAATGATGGAAGGACTTGGAGATAACAAACTGGACACTTGTGGTGATGTAGGCAAGGAAGAAGGTAAAGAAGAAGGTAAAGCTTGTGGTAATATACTTAATGACGAAATGATGGAAGGACTTGGAGATAATAAACTGGACACTTGTGATGTTGAAGGCAAGGGACTCAATGTTGAAGAAGTTTTAGGTTCTTGCACCATGGATGATATTATTCCAGATGATGTTGATTGCTCGTTGGAAAGACTTGAAGATGATGAACTAGCCACTCCTACCGCCGTAGGCAGGGAACTTAATGTTGAAGAAGGTGAAGTTAGTGACATTGTAGATGATAATACTCCAGATGTATTTGAACTTGCTATGACGGTCGACAATGAATTAGAGGATTCATTGAATGAAACGGTAGCCGATGTACTTAAAGACAGGTTGGAAGATGATGTTTGGCTTGAATATGATGAATTTTCCATGACGGATATCGTAGACAATGAAACGGTAGCCGATGTACTTAAAGACAGGTTGGAAGATGATGTTTGGCTTGAATATGATGAATTTTCCGTGACGGATATCGTAGACAATGAAACGGTAGCCGATGTACTTAAAGACAGGTTGGAAGATGGTGTTTGGCTTGAATATGATGAATTTTCCATGACGGATATCGTAGACAATGAAACGGTAGCCGATGTACTTGAAGACAGGTTGGAAGATGATGTTTGGCTTGAATATGATGAATTTTCCGTGACGGATATCGTAGACAATGAAACGGTAGCCGATGTACTTAAAGACAGGTTGGAAGATGGTGTTTGGCTTGAATATGATGAATTTTCCATGACGGATATCGTAGACAATGAAACGGTAGCCGATGTACTTGAAGACAGGTTGGAAGATGATGTTTGGCTTGAATATGGTAAACTAGCATCATCCGGCGTCTTCGGCGAGGAGGAGGTAAAGGTAGGTGTAATGTCTATAGATGTCAATCCAGCTGTTGAAAATGATGACGACATTGAACTTACAGCCAAGAAATGTGAAGAAGAAGTTTGAGTGGTCGGGTCTAGCGTTGAAGAGGTCGCCACTGAAAAAAAAAATCTTATCAGTCTAGACAATAGTTATCATTTTACATGACAATTCATTCGTAAGCATTCGTCGCCAAAATTAGATCATAATTTAGGAAATAAAAAAAATTAGCTTTAGAGAAAAAACCCGCAGTTCTATAGCTTGCCGCTTTATCCGAGCCGAAAAAAAGATATTGACTAAGCTGAATAATTTCGATTGAGCATGTAATATTTTCGACAAGATTACCTGATCATACAATTAGGACATCCTTCTCTACGAAATTCTCCTCAACTGAACGTCAATCGCCTATAAGAGTGCTCTGTCTCAGCCTACTCTAAAAGTTATGTTAAGTGCCTCCTGGCGAACACGAAAATAAATAAAAATCTGCCCTCCCAAATTCTCCAGTGTATGATAAGTATTTCGTTTATAGTATTGTATTTTCATCTTGGCTCCATTTCCAAAATAATTTTATATTGGTCGAGAAATATTTTATTTGAAGTGTATTCGACAAAAAATATGTCAAAATAAAAGGGCAAATCCAGAGTTTGGCTTTGTAATTGAAGGTGACAAGTCAAAGAGCAATGAAAACAATTTCAGCTTATTTCTGAGTCAAAATAAATTTAATATTATTATTATTACGGAATATTTCCATTGCGAGCCTGAAGCTTAGGCAATACCAACATGAAACAAGATAAATTAATAAATAATGTAAAACCCAATTAAAAAAATAAACTAATAAATAAATGCTATCAATATGTATTTATGTTTATATTATATTATAATTTTCGGTACCAATGTTTTGAACTACAAAGCAAGACGAAGTTCGTCATTCGTTAATCCGCGGTCGCACGTTTTCCTGAAATACTTGAGTGAGGAAAATAAATTTTAAGACAATATATAGACTAAGTCGAGGATGAATCGAGCTTAAACTCGATTTAGAGCTCCATTAAGGATTAGAATAATTGTCATAAAAATGCGGTATCAAATTTCGCTTTAAGGCAATTCATATTTAAAAGTTCTACCTTTAGAAACGGACGAAGTTTTATACTTTATTTATTCGGCATTGATTTTATCAGTTATTATTTCAGCCTTGATACGCAAAAATGATCCACGTTTTGTGAATTTTCGATGTTATTATTGCACTATAAAGCTCTGGGTGTAGTAGCTCAGTTAGCTATATCTCAAGCAATTCAGTGTTAAGTCTTGGAAAAAACAAAAACAGGAAAAAAAAAAAAAAAACATCTGTCGTTTTCTCGAAGCCCCGTACACAAGAGTCCATTCGAAATATAAAGCAAAATATGCGACGGAAATTTATTTCAATATTCTAACAGAAATAGTAAACACGTAAATCTTACAGGAAAAGAAAAAAAATAGTTTAATATCTTGTAGCTTTAGGGAATTTGATTATCATCTTTTAAACTACGTTTGCAAGCATCATGCAAGAAAGGTTGCGAAAATTATTCTTGGAAACACAGAAACGGAATATCTTTCCCATGAGTCGCTTTTATATTTCTTCGCACACAACTGAAAAAAGGTTAATCTGTCTGAAATACGCTACTTAGCTTACAGGCGGATTTCAATCTGATTCGTGTAAGTTTAGGTATCACCCCGACGAAAATTGCATCATTGACGAGGCAGTTTTTTACCTTTCTCGTCGTTTCGCTGGCAACCCTTGTCAATTTTTTTCTTTTTTCTTTTTGTTTTTTGTTTTTGTTTTTGTTTTTGTTACGGTGTCAGTTTTGAGTTTTTGCATTTCTTCAATTTTGTTAAAACTAGCCCTTTACTGAAATTAAACTTTATAATCAGCTCTTAAAGGTTTCCTTCGCGTTTATTAATATTACGTCAGTTTATCGGCCAGCAAGCAGAACCATCAAGTCGAAAGGGATGTCTTTTCATCGACAATATCCAGCATCGTCCTTAAGTTTTAACTTTAAAAGTCGTCAATACGTCAAACGTTTTTACATTTTTTGAAAAGAATAGAATCCATATTTTCTTCTTCTTATATTAGCCAACCTTTAACAATATTTTTAATATTAAATTTAAAAGGAAAGACAGAAGTTTAGTTTGTGCTTACCGGTGGATTCTACTCGGTATAAGATCGCAGCGAAGTTAATAAATATGACAATCAGGGCCATTCTCTTTTTCTTACTCTTTTCCTATCTTGTGAAGGTAAGAGTACAGACAAGAGTCTAACAGAGTCTAACTTTCGATCATAATAGCAGTTTGGCTATGAAGAGAATCATTAGTTCAGCATGGTCGTGATTGGTCAAACGCGGGTAGCCACGTGATTGGGGAAAAGGTATTTTGACAACGCGTTAAAATCTGCGCGCGATCTCGCTCAGTAGTTTCCTTCATGAATAAAGGCAATGGAGAAGAATGTAATCTCGAGAAAAAGGAAAGTAAAAGGAATTTTAAAAGTTACAGCAAAATCTTATTAATGTTAGTAATGATGCTATTAACTTTTCTAAGAATTGGAAACGACATCCGGGTATTTTTTCTTTCGAGTGGTTTTCTCTTTTTTTTTTTTTATTAATGCAGACCGTCCAAAGTATTAAAAGAGTATAAAAACGTTTAAAAATGTCATAGATGAAATATATGTCTTCACAAAACATAGCATGTTACGTAGTAAAATAAATGAATTTGACAGCTCAAGAACGAAAAATATAGCACTTGGACAGAAGTGAAAAATGATTGCCTAAAATCATTGCAAGTTGATGACACAATTTCACGATTTCCTATAATGTCGCGTGACTGATTGCGCGAATCAAGATTAATTACGTAATCAGACGAACGCAATTGAATACGTGTCAGCGTTTATTTTTATTATTATTATTCTTTTTCTTCTTCTTCTTCTTCTTCTCATTTTGTTTAATTTATTTCCCTTCGGTAATACAAAATACTTTCAAAACTCGACAAAAATGCTACCTAAAAAGTTGCCTACCTCAGAACATTTTCTTACAGTAATTCTTTAAAATCTCATCTATTGATACGCTTGAAATGTGTTAGAAAACTTGTGGGTTTTTTTCCTTTTTTGTTTGTTTTTTGTTTTGTTTTCTTTTCTTTTTCTTTTTTCTTTTTTTCGTTTTTTGTTCTGTTTTGATCAGTTGTTTTGTTTTTTGTTGTTGTTGTTGTTGATGCTAACAAATATTTATTCACTTTCTATAAAAAAAAGGTTGCTAAGACGCTGGTCTATTTAAATTAAAAAGCCAAGGATAGACTACTGAATTTAGGGACTGTTCATGATCCATGGATTTGGGGAGGTGGAGGCTATAAGCATTTTGAGTGGTTGGCATCAATTTTTGTTCCAAAATTTAGAGGGGGCTATCAAAACATTGAAAGGCCCTTAAAATTCAAATTCCACATGAAAATTAATTCTTGCAAGACTTACTTCTGAAGAATGTTTCTTTGGATTAAACGTTATGACGGGAGAGTCGAAGGAGGAAGTAAGCTTAACTTAATACGGCGAATGCAAAAATTTTTAACGCGAGAGGGAGCCGAATACGTGCTTTTTTTTTTTTTGTTTTTTTTTTTTGTTTTTTTTGTTTGTTTNTTTTTTTTTTTTGTTTTTTTTGTTTGTTTTTTTTGTTTTTTGGAGGGGAGCCAAACAAAAAAAAAACAAAACGGAAAACTACTTTTACATGAAGAAAATTCAAAATTTTAAAATTCTTACTAAAGTTGAAACGCGGCAATTGAAATGTAAATCTTTGTATTTTTGAACAACTAATGCAATAGGTGCAAGCTAGTGAAATGTATATATTTGAGTGTATACCACATCATATCATAATGTCAAACAAATAAACCAACTTTAAAATATGATCACTAAAACTAATTTAATATTTACCTATACTTTGTGCTGTAGACAAATGGTTAATCAACGTTGCCAGAACACTTAGCACGATTCTACGACAATCATGCATGACTCGTTGGGGAATTTTCTTAAGACGTCGGTTAACTCAAAGAAATATAATTGTTACAAATTGCTAAAATTCTCGCTTGTCTCGGGTCTCCTAAACGACTCGCATACGTGTCTCTTAAGTCACTTAATGATCAATGATTTTCCATTTCTAAATTGTTTATGCACAGCAAGTTTTCTTTTTAATTTTATTTATAGAATGTTGTTCATGTTACTAAGACACTGAGCAAAACAAACGCTAACACATAATACCCTCAAGTTTGAAAAACAACTTTGGATTGAATTCACTACAAATAGTTATAAATAATTCATTGTTTAGTGATATCCTCCCCATTTGGTTCGCAGGGTAAGATTCTAGAAAATGAAAGAATCTTATAGAAAAATAAATAAACAAATCTTTTTGCCATGGCAATACTTAAGAGAAATTAAACGTCTGTTATTCAAAAGGAGATCCTTTTTGCTGAACGTAAATCGATTTTTAAGAGAAAAAAGAATTGCTCCAAAGGGGGGTAGGTTAAACTTCCTTGATCATTTGAGTGTAACGTTTTTTGAACATTCACTTTGAGATTATCAAAATCTTAAATCGACTTTTAAATTCCACTTTATTATACCAATTATTTTTGCTTTATCACATTTTGTTCTTTTTTTATTTTCCTTTCATATTTTATTTCATCTCATCTCATCTCATCCTATTTCATTTTCAATTCATTCAATTAAATCTTATGCCATATGCAATCGAGGCTAACCCTATACAACAGAGGATTCGAAACTGGAGTATTTCACAATCTGGAATGCCTAAATACTTGACTAAACATAAGAATTAGCTGATAGAACGTCTTTGTTAATTAGATACTTATAAATAATATCGTAACCAAACCGCTCAAATGGTGTACATGACGTTCTCGCTTTGTATTTCTCATGATTACGAAGATTTAAAAATAGACCTGCATGCATCAGCCAATCAGAAGAGAGCATATGTCCATAATAAGATTAGCCTCCAAGTTTGTGAAAGGATGCCTTGTTTAATTTTTTATTCCGTAACTATGGGATCATTGACAACAGTCACGAAAACTTAACTGAATACACTCTAAATCACGTAGAATACAATTATGAAGATCAAAATGCATAAATCAAAATAGTAGAAGAAAATACTTATATTACGACAGCAAAAAAAGTGAAAAAAGATTTTTTAGCCCTTATTAAATTAATAGAGTGTGTCTGGTATTTAATCATTCCCGGTAACATGAAATAACTAAAGACACGACGGCCATAATAATAATTAGTATATGTAATAGGACTCCATGCTGTCCAATTAAGAAATAATTGGAC